GAGCCTTGGTGGATAATTTCCCATTATGAGCTTGGGGATATAGGCCTCTCTTGGAGATGAGGTGCAAGGTGAGAGGGATCTCACCTGCTCTGGCAGGTCTTGTTTCTGAAGGGGACGTGGGGGGGGTGTTTGAGTCTGAGATGAAACCCTGCCAGGACTGCTGGTGTCCCCTCCTTCCTGCAGTGAGAGCTAAATCCTGCTGGAGGTGGTGATGGAGGGGAATGGGGGCAGGCAGAGTGATGAGAAGGGCGTAGGAAAAACATTTAGGAGGTTGCTACTGATATTTTAAAGAATGTTTTGACCAGAGCATCAGTGCTGGTAAAACACAGCCAGGGCACCCAGGATCTCCTGTGGGGCTGGCCAGGCTGCTTCAGGGTCAGGCAGCTTTCAGGCTGTTTCTTTTGGCCATTTTTCTCATGAGAGGCTCAGAGCACCTGCCTTCCCTTGGGGAGAGGCACTTGTGTTAGGAGACTGAAGAGAGAAGAAATGAGGTGAGGAAGGAATTGATCCCACAGAGGCTGGGACCAGGTGATGTCCCTGTTTCCCTGTTCTGTTTTGCCATCAAGCCCTGGAGGGCTTGGAGCACAAGCAAGGGGAGCTCTGCCAGTTTTCCTGCACTGAAACACCAGGCATGGCCAAGCTGCAGCCACTGGATTAAATCAATGACTATTTCTCATGTGCTGCCCCCAGTTATTGCAGAGCTTTCTGCTGTGGGCAGCCCAGCTGTGTGAGACTGAATGTGCTTGTTTGCCCAGATCAAATGAATCCTGCCTTGCTTGATGTTGGTTTTTATTGGGTCTTCACTTGCTCAGTTCCTCTGGGCTAAGTACAAGGATTTTTCAGGCTTCCAGGGCTTTGCATTGACAATCTGCAGCTTCACACTTCAGTGCCTCATATGTAAGAACTTAAACACTGAATCTCCCTCAGAGCCCCAACCAGGAGCTCACAGGCTGGTTTTCAAGGCTCAAGCTGCCTTGGCACCTGGTGAGCAACAGGCCCCTCAGTCTGGGTGCAGCCTGAGAGCTGGTGTTGCTGGGAGCTCCAGCCCAAATTAAAACCAACATACTGGTTTGTTCCTCCCAGGGCTGGTCACTGAATGGGGGAGCTCAAACTGCAGGAAGGGTTTTAAAATGTCTCCTTGATGTAAGAAGCAGAACCTGTATCAGTAAGAGATGCTTTAAATCCTTATGAGGGAAACTGATAGATTATTTTTTTTTCCTAGCACTATTTTGGAGGCTTTAGGGTCCCTCTGGCTAAATCATCAAGGAAGAACTTCAGCTTCTTAATGGGAAAGGATGGAGCAATCTGAGCACAGGCAAAAACAAAGCATTAAAGTAAGTGATGTTCAGCTGCTGGATGTTAAAGCAGCTTTGAAAATTTAATGTATTTGGTGTGTGGGCTAAAACTCACCCCAGGGTGAAAGCTTGTTGGGAGGGAACTAGTTCTTGGTTCAGCTGTCCTGCACCCAACACAAAAGGGCAGAGCCTGATGCCACCACAGCTGCCATTGTATCCATCAGGGCCCTGGGAATGCAGAGCCCAGGAGCTGTGGCATCAGGGCAGCCCCTTTTCCTGACCTCTCTGGAGCTGGATAAGCTGGGAATTGGGCTGGGGGGCACCTGGGGACAAGTGGCTGGTTTAGGAGCCAATTTCTGGGCTGGTTGTGGTTTCACACCCCAGCTTGGAACTGCCCAGCAGCCCCTGAGCTGAGTTTGGTGTCCAAGGTGCAAATTCCTGTTTCAGTAAGTGGCCCTTTCTTGCTGATCTCAGCAGCACCAGCTGAGTAACTGGGGAGGACATTTGCACATTATTGCACCAGTACAAAAGATGCCATTTGACAAACTCTGGGCCAGATCTCCCCATTGCTGAGCACAGGCAGGATGTCAGTAGCTTTGGTGTTACAGCAATCTGAGCCAACATCTGGCTCCTTGCTCTGCAGCTGTGCTCTGCCTGCTGCTGCCCCTGGGAAGGAGGAGGCTGCTTCAAGGGGAACAGGCTAGAAAAATGGCCAAGGAGATGTCTTCTGCTTCAGAGCATCTCTGCCAGCTGCCAGGTACTCAGGGAACACATGGGCACTCCAGTGGCTGCCAGGGCCTCTCATCACCACTGCTTTCTTCTGCTTTTCTTCATTAAAAATGATGAAAAATAGGAGGGAAATGCTCTTTTCCTTCTGACCTTTTCTGTCTGTGTCAATGTTTAATTTTGAAAGCTCTCTCACTTTAGTCACCATGTTCCTACTGCAGGCAAGCAGCATTGATAGAAATATTGATCATCTTTAATGAGCTTTAAAAGAAATGCTGAGTGTGACTCAGCACAGGGAGGGGGTACAGACTGATGGCTCTCATTTTTTAACTGCTGCTGATAAATCTTTTGGGGATTTGCTGTTTTATCCTTTCCCCTGATGGTTGTTTCATGGCTTGCAGGGAAGGTGTCTTGTGCTTGGCTGTGGTCACAGCCTGCATCTTCATTTAACTTCTGCAGAGGGCTGGTCCTCAGCTGCCCCAGGGATGGATGGAGGGGATGTGACCTGAACTGGTCCTGCAGCCCCTTTGGGGTGAGTCCTTCCCCTCAGAGCCCAGCACAGCAGCTGCCAGCAAAGGTTTCCCAGCTGGTCCCTGCCTTTCTTATCCCACTGGTGCTCCCAAGTGCTCCAGCACCATCTACAGCCCTGGGAAGGTTGCCCACCAGCAGCCACCAGAAAAGGTGCAGTTGCTGAGGCAGGACTGGGATGTGGGGGATGTTTGCAGCCTTGTCAGTTGTCTAATGGCTAAAGGAGACAAAGTGCCTGGAGAAAACAAATCCAAACCAAGCAACACCTCCCTCCTCCCAGTTTTCACACCAGCTGAGGGGCTGCCATGAAATATTCATAGGAGTTTCCTCGAGTAAATAGCATTAAAAATTCATTGACATTTTGAGCAACAACCCATCAGCTGTATCTTCTGGGGATGGAGAAGTATGTAAATCAGAAAGCTCTTTCAGGAGACAGTTATTTAGGTCTGCCTCAGATGCCTTTTGGTTTTGAGGTGCTGAAATGGGTCCTCAGTCCCACCTCTTCCCTGGAGAAGGAGTTTGGCTTTGGGGGAGGCCCTGTGGCTGCTCTCACTCAGCCCCTGTTGCTCACTGCTCTGCAGGGGGGGGACACCAGTTCTGCCCAGTTACAGACAGGTTCAAGCTTCCACCTGCCTGGTTTTTGCTGACATTATCACCCATGGAGACTTCACAGAGCAACACTTTGCCCTTTGCACAGGGTAAGTGAAGAACAGTCCAGGACTCATTCACACGGTGCTTACAACCTTAGCAGGATCCCCAGACAACACTAGAAAATGTGCTCAGTATAAACATTTTATTACAGAAAATAGCAAATTACATTTCTGTGAACAGCCCACAGGGGAGAAGTGGTGTTTTTCAAAAGATGTGGGGTTTTTGGATGGCTGTGTGTAAAGGGACAGGGTATCCCATGAGATCCAAGTGCTCTGGGAACTGTCAGCTCTTAGATAAGTTACTTGGAGGGGAAGAAAAAGCTCAGTTTTAAGCAGCAGTTAGATGTAGGGTCAGTATCTCCCTTGATGCATTCCCATGTGCTGGGCTTGGCCTAACTGGGAATTTGGTGGCATTTGTCCCCTCCCTGTGCCAGTCAGAGGCAGGAACAGAAGGGTCTGGGCTGACCCAGCACCACTCAGCTCTGGGGTGGCTGAGGTGCAGTGTGAAAGCCACCAGTGATTCAGGCCCTGCTGAAGTGCTTGGTAATGAGCAGAAGGCAGAGAAGTGCAACTGAAAAGGACACAACAGGAAGAGATTTTAAACATGAAGCTCTGTGATCAAAATTCCTTCAACAGTTTGAAGCAACAAATACTTTGTTCTGTGTGTGCAGCAAGTGGCACATCTTGGTGTCTGGGCTTTCCATGATGCCTTTGGTTGAGGTTTTCAGTCGAGAAATGTACCTCAAACACAGCCTTTTGTAACTGAAACTGGGTGCATGCTTCAATCCATTTTTATGTGCATTTATATTTGTCATGTTTCTTACAGGACAAAACATTTACTACCAGAAATACAAGAGATGCCAGACCTGGTCACACACAACAAAAAGGTAAAGGAAGGAGCTGAACAGTTTCTACAGTAGGTAAACTGAGACTGAAAAATGCTGTCAGTTTTAAGATGTTTTCCATGAGAAATAAAGCCATGAGGAATTTTGCCCCTTGTGCAAAACCCTGTGAACACTGAGAACAGGATCTCCTGCCTCCCACCCCTTACATTTTTACTCTCTTGAGGTCTACTCTGCAGGGAAACCTGAGGTGGAAAAGAGCAAAGTTTGGCACTTCAGCATCCTTAGAAGGGTATCAACAGCTACCAGAGTCTGTGGGTTCACAGGTCATTTGCAGGGACAGAAGAGGTAAGAGACACAGGGGCAAGGTGCCCCCTGCTGTAGAACTGCATAGATAAGATTCACTACTGAGAAACCAAACCTCTCTACAAGACCCTCAGGCAAGCAAGCTGGAGATGAGGCTGCAGCACCTTGCATGAGGCCCATCTCACAGCAGTGCCTGTCCTCACAAAGCTGTTGGATTCAAGATTTGATTTGTTTCCCTCTGCTGGGCTTAACAGGGAGATGAAATCCTGGAGAACATGGAAATCAACAGACATCACAAAAAGCATCTGCTCTTCTCCAGGAAGGTGCAGCCATCAGCTCATGAGGGAAAGCTTGGATCTGGGCAGAACATGTCTGGGGACCTTGGCAGGGGGTTGAGTTGTCAAGTTCAACACCAGCACAGGCAGCTGGTGTTGTCCCCTGTGCTCCTGCTGGCCCCAGGCATGCAGAGCCCCCCTCTCTGCCCTGCAAACACTGAGCTGGGAGATGTTTCCTCTCCCTCAGTCAAGCCTCCAGGAAGCACTTACCTAATGCTAAAGCTTTATTTATAACAGTACAAATAAGAAGGGTTCAAATAAAAAAAAATATTTGAAAGACTCTGCTTCTGCTTTCCCAACATGTAGGTGCAAACACAGTTACTTGATTTTGGCCAGTGCTGCTGCTCTCCTGTCTGTGTTCTGGAACAGGGCTCGGATCAGACTCTTCACTTCAGCTGCAGAGAATTCAGCTGCAAGAGGCCCCTTCCCATCTGCCCACCTACAGGACAGAGAAAGACCTTTATTTAACCAAACTGCACAGAAGTCATGTTAAAACAAGCCTCCTGAGCACTCGGCACAACAGTAAGTCTGAAAGCAAAACAAACCCAGTTAGCCACCTATTAGCTGGCAACTTCAGCCCAGAATTGTTTAGAGCAACAGGGTGAGGTGATTTTTTTGCTCTCATTACAAACTGTACCTTTTGCCTGCCTGCAGAGTTCCCATTCACCTTCCAAACAACAGAAAAAAAAAGTGGTTTATGCCCAGGTGGAAGCAGAGGTGGGAACCTTTGGTGTGTCCATCATGGGTCCAACAGCAGCAATGACCAGGGTGCAGAGAAGGAGCTACCTTCTGTGTCTCCAGGGCTGCTACCTTTTTGGTTCAGCTGCTGAGGACAGTTTGTTTCCCTGCCATTCAGAGGCAGCTGTGAGCAGGACATGTCCAGCTGCTGACAACTCATGCCAACCAAAGTAAGAGAAGTAATTACACAAGTCCTTGTCTATCATTGGGATGAACCCCCCTTGCAAGTTAAAAGCAGTAAGGAAACAGCACCTCAAAAGCAGGGGCCAGTGGTGTGGAATGACTGCAGCAGCAAGGCACAAAGTGCCAGGCTGCTTGCATGGGATGCTGCTCAGCTCAGGGCCTGAGGGGTGGGCAGTCACTCTGCCCTCCCATGGCACTGGGTTGTTACTGTTCTTTTGGGTTTTTTATATTCACACGTTGCCTTTTCCTTTGCAGGAAGCATCTGAATTTAGGAGCAAGCTCCAAATGGACTATAAGCAGGGCTAAGAAACAGCCCCAGGAGCAGTTACCTGATCCTCATTGATGCTTGGAACCTGAGCAGCCCCCTGAGCACAGTGCCCTGCTGGTGTCTGAGCACCTCCCAGCTCCCTGTCACTGCAGTGAGGAACTAACTGAGAAGGAAGGAAGGAAGGAAGACACCTACTGGTCTACTATTTCTTGGAGGTTGGCTTGCAAGATGATCATCAGCTCTTTGAATGTCATCCACTTCTGCACGTAGACTGGAACTTCCTCCTGGTACTTCTTATTTTTCTTGTCTTCCAGTAGTGGGGTGAAAACTTGGGGTCCTTCCTCCACCATGGTCCTGCAGAGGGAGTGCAGGCGATCTGCATCTTCTGTGGAGATGTCCTAGAATTGAACAAAGGTTAAGAGGGCAGCAGCCAGGTGTGGTTTTGGAGTAAAGCAGTAAGTAACATGAAAAAAACTGGCTGTGTGTGTGAAGATGAAAGCAGTTAAATGTGATGAAAGATCATGTTTGACATGATGGAGCTAATATAACCTATTTCATTTAAATATAAGGGATTCTTGGTATCAAAGCAAGCATGTCACTGGGAAGCAGAGGAGTTAGGAAGAAAGCTGACAAGGAAAATGGCCCAGGCATTGCCCAGCACAATGAGAGCCAAGATTTAGGCAGGTACAGCCTGAACAAGTGTCCTGTAAACTAGATGTCATGGGAAAAGGGACTTGCTGGCCCCAGGCACAGTGGGAAGGCTCTCTGGGTGTAAACCAGAACAGCTGCACTAACATTTCTATCACTTGCTGTGAAAACATAGCTTAATTAAGAAATGTAATAGGATAATTGTACTTGACCCAAGGTAACCTGACAATCACTTGAACATGGTACTGGGAGTCAAATGGAGATTTAAACAGGTAGGAACTTCAGTTTGAAATGCCCCAGGTGTAGTGGCATCTGGTGCTTGGAGAGGATGGAGAGGCTCATTGGAGAAGCAGATTGAAAAAGTATCAGACCTCTAGGGCAACAATCCTGGTGACAATCTCTGCCAGAGCTGTGTTCAGTAGAGTCCCCATGGCCTTGCAGTACACGTTCACAGGCAGCACATCTTGCCAGACTTTTCCCAATCTTTTCAGCTGATGCAATACCTGGAATATAACAGCTCTGTGTCAGCAGAATAACACTGAGAGGCCAGCACATAAGGTGACTACATATGGTCAGAAACCAGTCAGAAGGGAGCAAAAGGCAGTGAGGTATCCTGCTCTGGCAGGGAGGCCTTCCTAGGAAAAAGTGCAATGTTTCCAACTTACATTAAGGTTCATCAAAAGGGTGGTGGAGCTTTGTCTTGAAAAATGAAAGCAGTATAAATGTACTTTTCCTTTCAGCTTGGAGCAAGAGGAACTGGACTGGGCATGCTTCAATTTTACAGAAAGACACAACCCAGGGAAACTAAATCATTGTGCCAGGAAATTGGCTGTTCTGAAAATTTCCACTCTGCTGGAACACTGCAGAGTTGTCAGGACTGGGATGATGCAGTGAACCTTCCCAAGGACAACAGCTACAGACCACGGAATATTTGGCTTTGATTGCCTTGCTTACCTGCCTTATTGCTTTGTTTGCTGCACTGTAATTTTCCTCATCATCCATGTTAGAGAAATTCCTTGCACTTGACAACCTCTCCAGGATCTCTCCTTTCTGCACCCGCATCTGGGCCAGAAAACACTCCATCCCTTTAGGAGCAAAAGCAAGCACAGAGAAGCAATGAATTGTTAAACTTGCTCTGCCACTTTAGAGACTCTAAGTGCTGAATGATGAGCTTCCTATAAAGCTTTTTTATTTTTAAAGGAGTTTCTAGTCTCTAAACAGTCTTGTAGAGCAAATTTAACCTGGTCCAGTCACATATTCAGGAAGTTCTTGAACATCCTGCATTGCTACAATACTTGTGATGAAGCTCAGTAGTAGAATTATCTAGAGATGACAGTTTCCTATCAAGCTCATAAAAACTTGGAATTTGTTTTATTGGACTAGTCTGAAGGAAACATCAAAGGACTGAGCAGCAGATCCCTGAATACAAGAGCCACAACATCTTGCTGGATAATGAACTGGTTGTTGGAACTATGTGCTGGACAAGAAGAGCTGGGTTTCAGATCCTAACCAGCCAAGGTTTCAAGGGTGAAAGGTGACATTACCAAGTCTCCTAAACCCAGGCACCAGGTCGACAAAGGTGGCAGCTCCATCACACAGGATGCTGGTCAGGCGGTAGCGGAACTGGTGTCCCAGGGTGAGCAGGTGGTGAGCAATGTACATGCAGTTGTTGTGGTGGATGGCTGCCAGCTGGGGCAGCTTCTGCAGGTTCTCCCTGGCCCAGGAAAAGAAAAGGAAGACATGGATTTATTTAGAGCAGGCTCTGTTAAAAAAAAAATTGTTGTGGTTCCCCTAAAGAAACTTGTTATCTCAGGTGTTGCAGGTAACTGGGCAATGCCTGGTAAAGGCATCAGCTGGAGAAAAGGCATCTAACCTCCTGTCACATCCACACAAAAACTTGTGGGAAAGGGGTTTTATGGCCAGTAAAATAGCAATTTGGTGTTTGAATCATGAGTTATATCCACATTGCTTCTAGCAGTGGACTTCCAAACAGGAAGATACTGTTCTGCCAAAGT